TATAAAGCAGTAACACAACAAATATACTTGAGCTGATTGCATTTAATTGACTATATAGACCATAATTGACCATCTTGACTATATTAAATGAGACCGTAATCTCTCTGCACAGAGAAAAGCTGTCACATTGGTATTTAGATTTGCCTGTGTCAATCCACATTATCATGTCAAAGACAGTGAGACAACCTGTAGGTTAGATTATCAGTGGGAGGATTTAGTCTTTTTTTTTTTTTTATAATTTTTTTTTGGTGATAAATTACATACTTTATCATCAGAGACTGTAATGGTTACTGGAAGTATAGTGCAGATTCAATTTTGGGGCTTTTTCTTCCTTTGAACATATGCTTTATATGTTCCTGAGCTTCACAGGACCAAGGCTGAGCTGCTGGCATTATTTTGGAAAATATATCTTGCCTTTTTTCTCTGTGTTGTGTCAAGTCACTTAGCAGCTGCATAAAGTCTCTCGACTCAAACACCAGAGGGGTGGGTTTAGGAGCAAGGACATAAAGACACTAGAAAGCCATTCCAAAACCTCCTCTTGTTTTCCAGGTTATGATATATCAGTATTTTGGATATTTACATTATCATCTTTGTATCATACCAATAGCATGTATTTTAGTAAGATGGGTGATTTTTTTCATAGGAGTGGCTTTTATTTTACCAGTATACCAGCATAAACAGTATACTTTTAGGAAGAGGGTAATACAGGTCTTCTAAGGTTACATATGAATGTCTGTGTTTAAAGGAATTGGGAGTCAGCTGGGATCATGTGCTCTGGTGAGGTGGTTTTAGTCAAAGAAAATGGATTGTGCCCATTCCAATGGCAGATACAAGATAAACCCTGCAAAATTAAAGAAACTCATTAGTAAGTACAGCTGTACTGGTGAGGCTTGAATAGCAAATGAGCACAGCCCTTATTTTGTCAGAATCAAAAGCGCAAAAACTCTGAAACCTGTGTTTCAAGAAATGGCACATTTGGAAGCAAAATAAGATTTATTAGAGAGAGGGATAGACCAAACTACCTATTTATTCAACCTCTTTAAAATGCATATTGGAAGCAGAGAGCTTTGCAAGAAAGGAAAGGGGGATTATCAGCCAGGAAGGCTAGTTTTTGAGGGAGAAAAGCGTAGAATTAAAAGGTAATAGACAACACTCCAGCTGAATTACATCTTGCAAAGCAAATTTAAGTGTTCAGTGGAAGTATTCTTCAACAATAGAAACAGAAAGAAACTAAGGACACAAGGAAAGTGTTATCTAGGAATGGTGAGGTGGAGACAAAGGCAATGTAGATTGAACCTAGAAAGTCAGCACCAAATCAACTGCCTCATATTTTAGTATCAGTGATTGTGAACACAGGGAGGGCATTTTTCTTAAACCGAACATACACACAGCTTTTAGTAGCTGAATAGAGCACAGGGGTTGTGTTTTTGCAACTGTCATTTCTGTTTATATATTCTAATATGGAGTTGTTGACTCATGATCACTTTGTGTTATGCTGTCACAGATCCTTTTCCCCAAGCATCACTGTATTTTTTTTTTTTTTTTTCCCATGTCATTCTGTTTAAAATAGCTGTGACCAAACTGCAGATAGCTTTTGGTCATTTTTCAATTTAACAGCAGTTCCCAAAGACTCTAGGAGTCTGGTCCATGATGTGCCAAGAAAACAGACTTGGTATATTGCCAACTTGATAGTAATAATTGCTGACATGATTCAGTAACAGTATGCTGAATAACTTGAACTGTATCTATCCAACTGAATAATTTGAACTCTATCTCAAGTTCCTGTAGATTTGAATTCCGCTAAAAATTGATTATTCCCACAAGCCACAGATACTGTTATGTAGCCATCATAAACATTTTGAAGGAGTGTTGACAGACACCTGGAAATAAACCTGTAAGTTTTGATAGAAATATGTATACTATAGTAAAAAGAACTTTCGTTCCCATTTAGATTGGTATTTTAACTGGAAATTCACAAATGCTTCTAGCATTAATTTCTGTTCAATAAAATGTCTCTGTTTTCACATATTTTTAATATTTCAGGATTCTGGTGACAGTATATAGTATAAAGGTAATTTTGATTGATTTATTTCCCACTTGAAATTGTGAGGTGGAAATAGTTTTATTATGCTGCATTTCAGTATGTTGGATTTGTTTAGAATAATATGAAGTACAAAAAGATTCCATTATTCCTACCCTTAGTCTCATGAATTGTAAGAAAGAAAAGATTTTTGTGGATATGTACTGTATCACCAATTGCTATAGAAAAATTTAGTGACCATGTAAAATGTTTTAAGCCACAGAGAAGTGAAAATTGTAATTTAAAAACCATTAAGTTTTAGTTATTGACTTACTTTTAGGAGTCAACGGTACCTAAGTTTAGTACACACTGGTTTTCTTTATTATTTATTACTACATGTTGATAAGGTATCTAACTAGTCCTTCATGGTATAATGAAGAAAATGTAATAAACTTTATACATACTTGCCATAGTACAAGACAGAAAGAGAACATTTAAATTCTACCTGCATGGAATGACTGGATGCTGTTTGATCTTCATTTAATTTGTTGTAAGATTTTAGAGTATTTCATCTCTTTGAAGAAATATTTGTCAGTAAGCAGACCTTTATTAAGAATGTGGTATGTGTATATTTAAAAATAGTACATACATATATATTCATGAAAATTCTTTTGAAAATACTATCATAGTTATGTGAATTGAAAATATTTCAATATTATTTAGACTTATTCATGTGAACAAGATTTGTTTTGAGATGTAAGGTAAATAAAATAAAAACTTGTTTTATTACTTATTCCTCTTTTATATTGGAGTCAGTTGGATAACAATGATTGTTTGCATTGATGAGATGTTCCAAACAGATTCCCAATGTCTCATTTTTGTTGTTTGCTTTTGTTTCTTTTGCTTAGTAATTTCAGCTTTAATTCTTGTTTATGTTAAAAGTTTATTATTTTTATTAACAGAAAATAATTTTGAAAATGTGAAAGAGTAAAAAGCAAGAAAAAAGTATAAAATTATATCTCAAATACAATTGTGAGTTTAAACCACCAATTTTATATAGTAAATTAAAGATGGAAGATCTGAGGTTGAAAATGTGCAGAATACTAACACAGTTGCTTTCATGCCCAGTTAAATGAAATAAGTAGTTTTGTTAAGTACTGTGCTTGTTTTACAGTGTGTTTTTAAGGTGACTTCAGATTTACTGCTGGGAAAATCTTTAACATTCAAAGTAAATTGTTCTGTTGGAGAGTTTTTGATGTCCAATAGGAGCAAAATACTATGATAAACAAAATGGCTAAACTGCCTAAGGCAAACCTACTTCATTACCTCATTTATGGATCAGCATGCTAAGTTTTAAAAAAGAGGTGATTGCTCTGGAGCTATTCAGATGGCAGAAAATCTTGTGATAGTTGAACTGAACTAATAATTAAGCTAAGCGACAACAAACTTTGATAGAGTAGCACAGGAAAAGAAAAAAAGCCAAGTAAAAAGTGTTCTATTTGTTGTACATAATAGTTCTAGTTCTTCTATAAAGGTAATAGAAATTGGGTTATTTCCAATAAAAATCTCTGTTCGATTCTCTTTGCAAAACTTTTGATTTCCTACCTTTACTCTGGCCAGTTAAGGGAAGGAGCATTTTGTATCCATATTTTCAGATTGTTTAATTTGGACCTTATCTTAACAAATTGATTAGAATGCAAGTTGATCATCCTGCTGTAAGAAGTACCATATTTTTTGCATACCTATTGAAGCTTCTTCGTATGATATAAACTATATTACACTAATCTTCCATGCTGATCTACACATGCATGAGTTAGATGTATAGTAATTAACGTTGTGATCTGTTAACTCTGATGTAATACTCAAGTTGGAATGTTAAGTAGGGAGTTCTGTATTGCCGCTTCTGACCAGCACATTGTGGGAATTTTTTAAGTGTAATTTGCTCTGCCTGCAGAAATTTGGAAATATCACAGCTCATTAGCTGCTTCTGTTGAAATGTTGGCTTTCATTTGTACAGAGATCTGAAAGAACCACGGAAAATGCTTTTTCAGGAGTCATTGACTTGCAAAGAAAGAACAGCAGTCAGCTGCCTGATAGTAGCATGGCATAACAGAAAATAGTTTGTAGAGATTCAGTCGTCTGGAAAAGCAGTATTGGGTTGGATTATTTAAGGAGAGATTTTTGTGTCAAATGTTTTGTATTTTTCTGATATATGGTAAGAGAAGTGTTTTATTTTTTTATTTCCTTAACTATATGTATTCTTGAAGGACTATTATTTCTTTCTACAGCAGTGAAGTCCTCTTGATCTTGATTCTAAGATTTATTTTCCTGAATTTTAGATTAGAATACATCTAGTAGAATTGAAGTTTCAATCTAATAGTAAAGATAAATTTGAAGGAGAATTTATATGTACTTTTGTGAATTAAATAGATGAGAACACTTTTAATAGATTGAGAAAGTATTTTGATTTGTTTATTTAATGTTTTCTTGGAGGGAGGAGGGGAATTTCAAGTTCTGTTCTGTTTAATCTATTTTTTACTTCCTAACATGTTAACTGTATATATGGGATATTTATGAAATTAAATAATCAATAAAATCATGTCACTAAGAACAATATCATTCGAAAAAGGTACATTTTTTCTCCATAATTAACTAGTAATTATTTCATTCAGAAATTAGAAACCAGGAAGTCTGCTTAAAGACAAGGTACAAGTTAGAATTTGCTAAATTGGTGTTCCAGATTTTGGAATATATTCAACAGGTATATTTTGTTGAAACATACACTGCTTACACTTGTTTATAGATTAGTAATAGCCTATTTATGTAATAGCTTGCAATAAAGCCATTTAGAACTGGGAAGGTGAAGTATATCTGTCTTGGCTTAAAGTAAGAATATAGACTAAATGTGAAGATTTTTAATTACAACAAAATAAACACTTTAGAAAATATTTGCACTAAGGCTTTTGTTGTTGTTCTGCAGTCTCGGTTTGAACTCAGGGTATTCCATATTCGTGGAGAACATGCTGTATCAACTGCTCAGCTTGAGGAAACAATTGCACATCTGAAGAATGAACTTGATAATAAATTAAACAGAAGAAACGAAAAAGCAAAGGATATTAGTGTTTCTACTGAAGATGATAACCCACCAAAGACATACCGAAATGTATGTATACAGACTGACAGAGAAACTTTCATAAAGCCTAGTGAAGAAGAAAACAGAGCTGTGAAAAATAACCAAATAGTACCCAAAAAGCTCAATATTTCTTCTTTGTCACATAATATTTCTGCCCAAAGTGAAAATAAGGACAATTACAATGTACAGTCTTCAGAAAGTGTCTTATTTTGTCAACCAAAACAACTGCTGCCTCCTCCACCACAACCACCGGTGCCGCCACCACCTCCTCCTCCCCTTCCTGATTCTTCACTACCAGGTTTAGTTCCTCCACCACCACCTTTGCCAATGTGTACGACTTCACTGACATCTCAGTTTGGATCTGGCCCACCACTGCCACCTCCACCTTCTGAAAGCTATAGGAATTTTCAAGCACCGCCACCACCTCCACCACCCCCACTTCCAGGGTCAGGACCTCCTGTTCCTCCTCCACTGCCTGGATCTGGGTTACCACCACCCCCTCCACCTCCTGGGCCTGGGTTCTTTTTTAATAGCACTTTATCTTCAAACCAAGGTCCTCGGAAACCTACCATTGAACCTAGCCGTCCCATGAAGCCTTTGTATTGGACACGGATACAACTACAAGATAGCAGGTAAAATACATTTATTTGGAATTGCTATTTATACACCACGATACAAGGGCATGTATACCATTTAATACTTAATAATAAAAAGATAACATTTTAGGAATGTATAGCAAAATCAGTGTAGAGGCATGGAATTTACGTGTTTGTTCAGGCTTCCCAGTCGCTTCAGGTAATACCATCTTCATAGCACTATGTTGTGTCATCCTCTATGATGCTAGTTTTAGAAGCAGTTAAACTGGAACCTAACCTCTGTGTATAATTCTGTCAGAGTAGAAAAATAAATCATATGTATAAATATATGCAGCTCGGGAACATGTAGCATGAAAAATCCATTAAGAAGGAGTATCAGTACTTATAGACACCTCTGTAGTTTAAAAAAATTGGTTAAAAAAAAAAAAGTTGCCAATCTTATTGTGATTTAGTGCTGGGATAAAATGCTAGATGTGCTTGAGGGAAGGGGTCTTTCCAAAGGGACCTTGAGATACTTGAGGATTGGGCCTTTGCAAACCCCATGAAGTTCAACACCAAATGCAAGGTCCTTCACCTGAGTTGGGGCAATCCCTAATATCAGTAGAGACTAGGGGGTGAATAGATTTAGAGCAGCCCTGCAGGGAAGAACTTGGGGATTCTGGTGGATAAAAAAAGTGTGCTGGCAAAGCAAGCTTGAAGCCCAGAAAGCCAGCTGTATCCTGGGCTGCACTAAATTAAGCATGGCTAGTAGGTCAAGAGAGGTGATTCTCTCCCTCTGCTCTGCTCTGGTGAGACCCCACCTGGAGTACTGCATCCAGCTCTAGGACCCCCAGTACAAGACATGAACCTGTTAAGATTGGGTCCAGATGAGGGCCATGAAGATGATGAGAGAGTTAGAACACCTTTTCTATGAAGACAATCTGGGACAGTTGGTCTTGTTCAGCCTGGAGAAGAGAAGGCTCAATGGACACCTTAGAGCAGCCTTCCAGGCCCTAAAGGGGGCCTACAAGAAAGCTGGAAAGTGACTCAGGACAACCTGTTCCAGTGCCTCGCTACCCTCACAGTAAAGAACTTTTGCCTAATATCTAATCTAATTCTATCCTCGTTCAGTTTAAAGCCATTCCCTGTTGTCCTTTTACTATACGCCCTTGTAAAAAGTCCCTCTCCAGATTTCTTGTAGGCCCTCTTTAGGCACTGCAAGGCTGTTTTAAGGTCTTCCTTGCACTTACATATATTTATAATAAATCGTAACTATAAAGTACTTAAGTATAAAAAATTATTTATGATTATTCTTACCTTTTGCTTTTAAGTTATTTTCAGGATTATATTTAAGCACTGTAAATTGAATATCTGTATTTAAATATATTTTAAAATTTAATAGTAATTTATTTTACTTTCATAATTTAAATTTTATTTTAGTTTACAACTTTTTGTCTGAATTTATTTTGATGACAAAAAATCATTCTGGTATAAGAAGGTGTCTTAGGGTGTTAATATTTTATATAAAATGTTTTATAGGAGCAAACAGTTTAATGAAATGTCAGTTATATTCTTTCAGTGATTCAGAGCTTGAGGTTTGAGCATTTTGATTTTACTTTTCCAAAGTTGCTAGTGAAAAATTGTTTCACAGTGAAGAAATCGTTGGTCCATAAATAAGTCTTATTGTAATTCTTTCTATTAATTCACTGAAATCAAAATGTTTGTTCTGAAACGTTGCTGGTTAATCAAGCTTTTGCTGAATCCAAGGTAAGGTCCCAGTCATAGCTTTCTGGTGAACTGCTGGTCACTAGGTGTAATGGTCCAACATTTTCATGGTCTGCACTAGAACCAGAAACTTCTTCAAGTGTCTGCTGCTCAGATCAGCAGCTAACAAGGACTTCAGAGCTCTTGTTATGAGCCAGAAAGAATCTTTCATTTTTCTATGTTGCCGACACTAACGCTAGTATCAAGGAGAGTGAAACTGTGGAGCTGTAAGCATGTCCTGTGACACGCAATATACTGCATCACTGGATGCTAATGGATTCCACATTCACAATAGTAAATGCACAGTTGAGTACCAAGTAAAAAAAATCCTAACTCAAGAATACCCCAAAAATTTTGTTTGCCTAGTTCTGTAGGCATTGCATTTTGTTGCAAATTACATCTAATAAAAGTATTTTTAGTGACATCAGCCATTTGTATTTTCTAGGGGGTTTCGTCACTTTTTCTTTCTTGAAAATTTCACTGCCTTGTAGTGACACCTGCTGGAAGAAGTGGGCCCACCTCCTGCTGATAGACAAGAGCACTCAGTTTTGTCCAACATATTTTCTAGAAGCATTAGAATTTTATAACAGCTCCATCAGAATTGAAGTGTCATTTTTGCAGCACTACATAGTATTTTCTCTAAATCCAGATAATACTAGAGGATTGTTTAAACAAGTTCCAGGGTGTTCCAAAACTATATCTGGTCTTGGAAGGCAAAAAACCAAGGAAAGATAATACACATTTAAAATTTACAATTGGTTGAATGGAGTGGAACACTGGTGAGTCTCAAAAAATATAGGCCATGTAATTAGTTTCTCAGAACTGCAACAAGGATAAATATGAGCATACGACAACTGCAGCTAACATGAAGTGAATCAAGTCCTATACAAATGACACCAAATGGTCTTAAAATATGGCTGAATAAATTTTGCTCACTATTTGTTGACATGGTTTATTTTTATAGGTCTAAATAGATTACTGGGAATTTTTCAAAAAAGCTGCTGTTGAAATGCTTCTAATCCTAGTTGAAGTGGCAGAAATCTCTTGAGACATATTTCGCAAGCTGCAGTTGTAATATTTGGTTGTTGTACCAAAAGCTACAATACAAATAATGCGTTTTGATAGTCTAGCAGTCATAGATACGGAATAGCTAAACTGTTTGGTACAGCCCTCTGCAAAACATTTTGACTCAGAGCAAGGTCTAGGGAAGAAATGCTGATTGTATAGCAGCAGTGCATGTTTCTTTGAGTTTTAAATCTATTGTGAATTTTCATCTGTTACGGTTAGGTCTATTACAGTTCTTCATAAAATTTTATTGGAAATTTAATTATTGCCTTTCCCTTTATAGGAAAACTGCTATGCCAACATTATGGGAATCATTAGAAGAACCTGATATACTTGATACTACTGAGTTTGAATATTTATTCTCCAAAGACACCACTCAGGAAAAACGAAAGCCATTATCAGAGACTTATGAAAAAAAAACCAAGGCCAAAAAGGTATTTATTGTTTCTTTGTAGTTGCTTCTTTTGCGTCACTGTTTAGTTTTACATTTTAAGAAAGCTCTCTTTTTGTTTGTGGTTGAACAAGCAGATAATAGATGGGTTTCTAAGTCTCATTTCAAAGCAAACTGCTGATTTAACTCTTACTTGAGCATGTGGGGTTCTTATTTGCATTGGAAGATTTCCTGCCTTTGAAAATGAATGTTCCACATCCCACTGAGGTAGAAAAAATATTGTATAGGAGAACTGAATGCAAGTTCTAATATGTATCTAAAAGTGCCAATATTCAGGCTGTGTCTGCCCTTGAACTGATTTATAATTAAAGTCTGTCATTAAGTTACCCTAGCAAACCTCTCTTCCACTGAGATTAATTTTACTGGAAAAATGAAGTATAAAGCAACATAGGGCTTTATATGTTAGATGTTTTGAAAAGGAATGCCAAAAAACTTTTTACTGGTGTAGATGAATGGCCAATTCAGGACAATCATGTCTTTAATGGACAAAAATTTATGCAATAGTTGTGTCATTACTGTAGCACAGATATTGTCTGCCTCAGACAAGATCCATTACAGAGAAAGCATATACTTGTCAATTACTGTGTGCAGAGAGGACAAAGAAAAGGCTTAGCAATATTCACTGCAGGAAAATTAGGCTAAATAGTAAAAAATAGTGTTATTCTAAAACAGTGTGGTTATATATTAGAAACCCATTTAAACATATACTGTATCATAAATCTCTTTGAGCTTACCTGCTTGGAACCACAAGAGGGCACTTTGTATGTAAGTTATGCTATCTATCTTTATTTTATAATACAATAATATGAAATATACATGCATAGATACATATCAATGCAATCAGATCTTTCAAAACATCTTTAATCATAAGCTCTTTGTACTGTGTTTTAGTGCAGAAGTTAGTGAGAAGTGTTAAATAAGGCTACAGAATCGATAAAATTCAAACTCGTGATACAAAAAGTGAAAATGAAAAACAGGGCCAAGACAGAGGCATGCTGGCATTTGTAAATACACCCTAAAGAAATCAGTAATGTTTACAATTTACCTCTTTCAGAAAAAAATATTTAATAGGAAACACAGGTTTTAAAGAACTTTGAAGAAGAATGTAACCAGTGTAACTTGGAGAAATCATATGAACAAATAATTGCCTTTCTATTTCAAAATCTCACCAATTAAGTGAATTTACTTATTTCTCCAGATGTATGACAGCAAACCAGGTAGACAATTAGGCCTGTATTCTGAAAGATGAAATCTCTTAATTCTTTTTCCTTGTTGTTTTGTAAACTAACTTATTTGCTACAGCAGCACATTTTTTTAATAACCTTTCTTAACTTTATGCAAAATCAAATTGGATAATAGTTTTTCCATACACTATGGAAAATAATGGTATAATGATAAGTACTATTTCTCGTGAAAAATCGATGTGTTTCCTCTCAAAGATATCTTCATTTATGTTACTGTTTCAATTATTCTGTTTTGCTATTAATTAAGGAAATGAAAATATTCCTTTAAAGTACTGTGCGAAAATAAAAGAATAAAGAGATAAAGAGTTATATCAACTATTATGTCTTTAATTTGGTAAAAGTCATGGAATTATGATCATGATGTTATAAACCATAGGAATTGTAGGGCTTTCTGTGAAAAATTTAAAAACTCATGGTCGACAATACTAAGCTTTCCATCATTTGGTCAATTTAAACATTAAAAATAAATCAGTTTTCAAAATTCAGATGAAATTTTAATTTAATTGTCTATAGAATTTTCCTATTGTAAATCCTGCCTTTCCACCTTTCTCTGCTAAATGGCTTGTAGCTGCTGAATTTTTACAGACAGTTAGTCCTCTTAGATGGTCCTATGTTTTTCTTTGTCACTCTGAAAGCCCAGATGTCTGCAGGCTGGCTCCGACGGATCAGTGTTGGTGGGCTGCAAGTGATACAGCAGTAGAGAGGCATTTTATTTACATACAGGAGGGTTTATTAGTAGATAGTAACAGAAAGTTCCCATAGATTAATGTAAAACTCTCAGTTCTGCTGGCTCATTTATGCTTTCTCATGCTTTTTCTTGGCTCAACTTTTCTTGCCTTTTTTCTAACAATTTTATCTATCTACTAGGGTTTTGAGAGCAATCTTTTTCTTTGCTTCAGTACAGAAATTTGTGCTTGTCTGGCCTTAAGGATGCTACAAGTGTCACAGTGTATCAAATTCTATAGTCTGTCTTTCTACAGACATTAGGATAGACATATGAATCTTGCCCTTCTCTGCAGAAACATTTTTATTTCATACCATCTTATACAAACTAAGTTCAGCCTCCTTGGTATTTTGAGAAATGACAGACTAATAGGTGGTACAGGATTGCTTATTAAATCATGATTACTTAATAATTTTCTTGAATTAATTACATCATGAATTACATCAGTGCTTAGCAATCAAATTCCTTATGCAATTGAAAGTAAGATTCTCTCTTTCAAATTAGACAGGAATTGTTTCTCATTTAATTGGGTCTACTTTACAAGACTAAGGCGACTTTAACAATTAGTAGCTTGGCAAATTATGACTTCTCTACCACCTGTTTACATTCCTCTTGCAGTTCTAAATGAAATAATATTCAATTTATTATCAGAATTGTTATTATGGCAGACATCTACCATTTTCAGCCAGAAATACATAAATCTTTACCTGCATAAATGGAAGGGATGGTCTGTTTTCCAGTAACATTTGGCAAGTTGTGCTCAGAAGGGAAACTTCTGAGTATATATTTATATTTATATGTATACTCATATATATTTTAAGTACATACAATAGAATATATAATTTATAAAATAAATATTTGTAATATGGAATATATTTATACTCATATGTATACTCAGTGTCAAAATAGGAGAACATATTGAGGTTTCTCTGGGCATCTATGCTGGATCTGGTTAGCTCGGTATTTTCACATGTGACCTAGATAATGAAATATTAACTCTGCAGCCACCACGAAGTTGCAAAAGACTTCAAAAGTACTAGAGTAGACCCTTTAGAAAGCTTTTATGTGTCAGGGATATGGTCTGAAAGATAGGGACTAGCATAAATCTAATACAGTTAACCACGGCTCACAAGAGTAACATGAATTGTCAAATCATGGTGTTACTTAAAAGGGAAAACAAAACTTTGATAGATTAGTAGAAGTATTTCTTGCAAAACAATTTACTCAGCCATGTCTCAGTTAAGAACTGCATCTAGATTTAGCCACTACAGCCCTTCATTAGAAACGTTTAGTAACTGTAAAGAGTCAAGAGTGAGAATGATGAAAAGTGTGAAAGTTGTCTCTGAGAAAAGAATTGAATTGTTATGATTGTTTAGTCTAGAAAAGAGAAGGTTGATTGGGACACACAGGAAGTGTCATCAAGTGCGTGCAGCTGCTGCAAAGAAAAATTATGAAAAGCTTTCTAAGAGTAAGGATACCAGAGGAATGCAGAACAATTTTGGCTAGGGAGGTTGTGTTTCTATATTGGGAGATCTTTACGAAAATTTGTTTAGAATGATACACATATAGTTGATACTGTCTTGAAGTGCATAATGCTTTGGATGACATCATGATTCCATTACTCAGTAAAAACCATAAAGTCCACTTTCTTTGGAAGTCCACTTTCATCCATTGTCCTGTGGATGAAAACAGCTAGCTATCCTTTTTTCCCAAGTAGAAGCATTTTCATGATTCACAAATTCTTTGCTTTCATGCCTGCCAGAAAATGGCTTATCATGGAATAGTTATTAATTGAGTTACACTAGTTTCTACTGTAACTAGTTACACTTATTGAGTTACTCTAGTTTCTAGAAGCTATCATCCTGACATGAGGATGAAATTATTAGAATTTGAAATGCAGTTATTGAAAAAAAAAGATATTCTAACAAGTACGTAGGAAAAAAAGGAAGGCAAACTAAGAACCTTCCAGCAGCATATAAATGTATATAAATTGCTTAAAAGACTGAATAGAGGGTGATTTATTTTTTGCCGTATATTAACTTATTTTGGAAAATATAGTACATTCACTTGATAGTGAAGCAATGTAAGAATAATATAGTTTAAATGAAGGTCAGATGTACCTTTCTGGTATACTTGCATATTGAAGTTTGTTATGGTAATGCTTATCTGGGCTTAGAAGTTCTGCAAAGTGTTTAGCTGCTCATGCTTCTTCAATTGTTCACTCCTTTGGAAAATTTAGAAACTTTGGAAAAGACCTCTTATATTTTCCCAACTCTACATCATTTGAAATATTTCAGAAAACCCTGAAATGCAATCTGGTAAATAAAAGTTCCAAAGTATTATGTAGATAATGATCAAAATAAATATTTATTTTTTTAGGCATTATGTCTGTCTTTTCTAGATGAAGATGATTTACTGTCTAGATAAAGATATTAGTTATGTCCCAATATTAGAGCAAAATATGGTGCAGTATATTTAAGAATTAATAAATATGATTCTTCTTTCATAAAAATGTTCCTGAAGTGTGAGACTAAAAGCATTATAATCTTATATGAGGTAAAAAAATGCAGTATTTTTTTTGATGTGATATTTATGAAATGGAAAATAGACTATTGCTTGCTCGGAAAAGGGGCTTTCCCAGAGACTGTAGATGGATAAATAATGTATGGAAGGAGTAGGTTTTATTTTGTAGCATAGTTCTGAAATGGCTGAATTTGCAGCAGGCAAAGTTGTAGTTACTGGACAAAATTAAAGTTTATTAGCACATGAAAAAGAATCAGATTTCTCTCTGGTTTGGTTAATTCAGTTTGCTTAATCTAAACACAAAAGTTACTGGTACAATGAAGCTTGGCAATAAACATTGGATCTAAAAGTATTTATACTATGTAAGGTGGTGTTGTCTTCAGTTAAACTTTTTCAAATGCATGTAGCTGGTCCCACTTTCAAAATTGCTTAGAAGTTACACCTTGGAAATCAAGAAGAAAAAGGACTAGATCCACCAGGTTATTTTAGTAT